GTTTTAGTCTACGTTTTCCGCTGTCTAATGTCGCTATAGTCTGTGAGTTTTTATGAAGTGATGCAAGAACACATAATTAAGGTCCTGTTAGAACTATAGAATTATGGTCTACTTCGGCATTAGTACTGCTCTAATAACAGAATTAGTCCTAAAATTGTAGGTTTGTTAGGATGTGACCGCCTAATCTATAAGATCTTACGTAGAAGTCACATCGTTATCTGCACCAACTCATCGCATCGTAACAATCAACAATATATGATGGAGAACAAACTTAGGCAAGAGATAGAACAATATATTAGTAAGAATAAAAGATAAAAGGCAACAATCAAGAGTGACCACGCCTGCAAGGCTGAGCCATGCCATCCAAATAATCGATTCGAATTAACTGAATTTATTCTTCCCGCCTTCTCCATCGTTGGGTTTTTCTCCGCGTTAAACGTTGAATATCTATTTTCCCAGTTGTCTCGGGTCCGGCTTTGAGAACTAGGTGATCGGGGCCCATTGCCACTACAGAACAAATATGAAATATGGAAATCCTTTAGGAGAATCTACTCTTTGTACTCATATGTTCCAGCTGTTTATTCATTTAGTTTGTCAGGAGACAATTAGCGATCATGTTGACTTACAAAACTCCCGAAAACATTACACTAAATACCCTTAGCCATCAACCTGTCTTCTACCTATAATGCTCGTCTCTACGAAATGTGTTGTCTGTTATCGACCTCACATATGTAACCAAGTAACAGTTTTAATTAACAACTGACCACGTTGAGACGGTCTATAAAAACAAAACAGAGACCACAAAAAGTGTATATTCGTGTCACTTTTGGAATTTAGTGCTTAACCTATTTTTCTTTACCTAGTTGCAGGAGGCAAGGTGATTTTGAATTAGGATTTAAAGTCTTGCGTGATTTAGGTATCACAATGTTGTATGTGTTCTATTCTTTCAAGGTTAGTCGTCGTTGTGGTCATCGCAGACTCTTCTGAAACGGAAATCTAATGAACTCGGATTGAGAATCTATTTAAAATTTATTTCTTACCATCGAGTGTTTAACAACTGGAATATCCACCTGAAAAGAGATAATCAACCTATCGACGAGTGATTTTAATAAAAAACTAGTTTTTTGCTTAAAAAACTGCGGCAAGGATCTACACAAGCCGTTTGAACTCCTAAGTTATTGAGTCATGGCACTGTTTGTAAGTTTTTAATGACATTTGGGCGTGACTATTAGGGTATGGATGTAAAGCTGGGTCCAAGGTTTCTGCGTACGTATAAGGAATTTTGGAAGTGTTTTCAGGACCCTTATTTCAGCATTATGGAGCAAATTCGACTTTCCAGCGCAGAGTTTTGCAAATTATATGCTTAATATTCACGGTTTTTTTACTTTAATGGTTTCGCATTTCTTCTGTTTAGCAACCCACTGACCCGAGTACGACTTTGAAAAACTATCGAATATTCCATGGACATAAATCTTCTATTTAACTCAGTATATTACACCTAAACAAACCTCGTTTGCGGGACATGGTAATAAGAAGCCAAATATGGGTTTAGTTGAATGTATTTCAGGCGTTCGTTTACTCAAACAAACATCGAAAATGATAAGCGGAGAGGCAGGCCGGAGAAGGCGAGTGTGCTAACTCTACCTGATATGGCGTGACTCGATATTTATGAGCACACGAAAGAAAGCTATAGACATGTGGTGAATAGGGTTGGCTGTACACACATGCAAATATATGAAAACAGCCAAGGTTAACGAGCAGACAATTCAACAGCGTCAAGATGTGACTTAATGATAATAAATATACTGTTATCTTTGGAGGCTAGAATGACTCATGTGGGCATGACACAATACTTGACACTTCACCTCTCAGTCTTCGAGGTCGCCAAATCCCCCATTATCGCGTTTATCAGATTAACCCAAACAACAAAGCAATGAAAAGATACCGCTAATCAAGCTTGTGTTTGGCTGTTGTTAGACTTTTAAGTAGTTTATTACAACTGGTCATTTGGAGACTTTCGCATCACTTCGACAATTACCTTATCTCCAGAACCGTGTCTCCAAACGTTGCACTTTCGAGCACTGCAACACTATAGAGGAAGGGATAATCTTTACCTCGCAGATATTGCATTGTTCAATAAGTGATAATGTCCTATTACAAAGTAGTCAGTGGAAACAAGCTGCAATAATTAGACTTCGTAATTGGTTGAGAGTAAGTGACAATACAGGTCTTGCTGATAATTCAGACTGATGTCTTGAGGAATCCTGAACTTGCAAATCATCAAAGAAACTAATTTTTTGTTCGTGTTGGGGACTAATTCTCAATAATCTGTTAACTCTGCTCTTACAAATAGTGAGTGCGTGTGATTTACAAAGCAATAGTACCACGCTTATCTTACGTGTTGAAATTCGTGAAGTGTCTTCCGGAAATCACCTCGAAACAAGAGATTTTGTTTGGCCTCAGCCGTCTAAATCATTCACTTATACCAACAATGATAGTTCGGGAACTGGAAACTTGACCAATTGCGCTAAACATTTTCCTACCTACATAAGTAAACAGTCCCTAGAACTGCATGTCATTGTATCTACTGATATTACGTTATTTTGGGAATCTAACACGACCTTCAACGGAGCAGTTAAAATGGCAGCATCCAATGAACAGTTACTCAGAAGCGAATGCAAAGTTTACACTATAAAGGAGGGATGACACTCTTAATGGTTTTGCATGACATTTTTAAGGTTTCAGCGGTCAACAGACTACTTATTTATGCGGACTCATGGAAGCTAAAACACGATCATTTAACCCCGAGCACTTCAAATACGGAACGCTCGTCCTAAGCAAAGCCTCTCAAGGTCGTGAACGCAGATTTTACTCGAATCAGGCTTCCCAGATTGGATTGGTTGCCAAGACGTGTTGACTTTTAGGTAGCTATTTTTTATGGGACACAGCTGTGCCTGATTGTCATGTTATCAATTTGAATTTAGGATGATGGGCTTCGTTGTCGTTCAAGGAAGCCTGGTAGGTTAGTCGATTATTGTACAATAAAAATCCTTTTCGAAAAACCAAAATGAACGAAAGTTATCGTTTGTACGCATTCTAGGTGGAGGATAACTCTCATATGACGTCTGGATGCACTACTGCGGAATAGCGGTGGTAATATATATCCATGGGAATATTTTCGTAGACACATTGATAAATAAGTTACCAATCCCTGTTCATTTTAACTTTTTTACTGGCCTCACAAATACTCAATGGTGTTGTAGTAGCCTAGTGATCTGACATAAGTTGTTTTGTACAGAGTTTCTTCATCTTGTGTCATTCTAATTAGTTTACAATGAATCGTGTCACATGGATATTGTCAACATTGCTGCACTGTTTCTACATTTTTTGCCGACCAAATAGTCTTCATATAGATTTCAAGAACACAACTTGCCTCTTGTTACGAAGTCCAGCACCCTGAACAGGACTCGAGATCCTGAAGGTACATTGAAGCGGTACGCACTGATACTTCGTCTCAACAAACTTAACAAGATAACGGCCTGAATTAACTGTTTAGCTAATATTGGACTTCTGTTATATGAGTCTGATGAAACTGAATCCATGTAGAATAGATTAAAGACATTAAAACTTGTTGGAGAACCTCGCGAACATCTCAAGATTCACCTTACGAATTATACATTTCGGAAGTAGACGTATTAGCCATGTTGATGTTAAAATCATTTTCGACTTTATATACAGTATTCGTTCGTCCTAATCTCCAGTATTGCATACAATCGTCTAGCACCTTCTTAAAAAATACAGAGAACTTTTGGAAAACGTTCAGAGAGCAGCAACTAAACTGATTCACGGAATAACGAGGCTTCCGTATGATGCTCGACTGGCCAAGCTAAACCTATCCCCATTGTCATATCTAAGAACTAGAGGTGACTTGATCACATATTTAAATTAATTATTGATGAATTTACATCTGACATGTCCTCACTTTTCTTGTCCGCCAAAACAGAGAATTTACGAGGACACTGAAAAAGCGTTAACTGATCCAGAGGAAATTACTTGTCAGCTGACTATCGACTTTCGCATCGAATCATCAACGAATGGAATCGATCAACTGAACATGTGATTGAAACTCTATCTACCAAAGCTTTGAAAAGAAAGTTGTATCAACTGAGAGACCGCCATTACCAGGGCTAACAGGACCACCTGTCGTTTCCAAAGTGAAGTTGAGGCTTACTTATTATCACAGTAAACATTCAACAAGTGACATGCATTATTTAATAGTGGGCAGAATATCTTACCAATTAGTTGAGTTTATGCAGCCAGTCCGTAGTTTCAACCGGTAGGGTCTGTTCCAGACAAGTGAGTTTGGCGAATCTCCGGACGTGACACGATAACTCATTGAAAATGGTGTCAAAGGTTGCAACTGAACTGACAACCCTAGGCATATTAACGACATTGTTAGTCCTCTCTCAGACAAGGAATTCTCCATATGAGCAAACAGCAAAAACTTGCTGCATAATTTAGGCGATGTGAATCTCCAGATTGTAATTGAAACCAGTAGGTCTTATTGGGCAAATGTACTTTCAGTACATTCGAAATGTCTCAAACCACACGCTTAAAACAGATATAATGGTGGACATTCCAGAAAAGTGAATCGATTGTCTATTAATACGCACGAATAATCCAATCGACTTTGGCAGAGCAATCAGATTAGTAGTGTTGCTTACTAATATGTACCACATTACTCCTAGTCCGCAGATTAGCAAGCAAACACCTGGTCTCAGTGCATATATAGGAAATTATCATGTGGAGTAGTACCTGCTAATATATGTTCTCAAAGTGTGATTAGTAATGAATCAACTCGCCGACAGAGAATTCATAGTAAGTGGTAGTTGATTGTATTTTGGAATCGTGACAGTTTTAAACAAAGAATGATGAATAGTGTGAAATGAGCAACAATGTCAATAAATATTTTTATAAAGGATTCGAATAACAGGGAGCGCGAATAGCGACCTGGCGCGAATGTTCAACTGACAACTGCCTGTAGCTTTTGCCTATCGTCCACACCGAATGTTAGACACTGCAGATGTGAGTGTACCACATTAGAGTTAAGCTTATATTCTGCCTCTAGAATTGTTGCCTAGAGTTTTTTGTATATTGATCTGATATTGGTTTGTGCGAAATCTTTTTAAAATTTGAGATATTCAATGTTTATCTACTCATGGTAGTGTTCATCACACTTTTAACGAGCTTCTCCGTTATCGTTGTCGGTTTGAAGTGTCTGTCCACATTTCTCATTGAACGACAACTCAGTGTTTCGCCATGTCTTGTGATAAAATTAACAACAACCACTCATTCTTCCTCCTTAGTATTTTCGTTGTAGTTACAACCATCTAAAGGAAAATTTACTACATTACTTAGTGCCATTAAATATATCAGTCTATGGTAGTAAGTGTAACAAGTTCATTAAATCAGCAGTATGCTTCTGAGTATGTTGCATAAATATTGGTGACCCAATAATGCTGGTTGTACAACTTCATTCGAGATTGGCTTTTTGGACATAAACAAGCCTGTTTCGTCCTATTCTTATGCATTTTCATAGGTATCAGAAGGGTAGTTTTGAGAAAGGTTGCTGGGTTTGAATCAGTATCTCTTCAGTTGTTTGTGTATGATTAATCAATAAAAACTAGGAGCTATTCAACAGTCTAGAGACAGCTAACCTTAATATTCATTTATTTAAGATCTCATCTGATAAAGTAGTCACTGTTTGATGTCCATTTAAGGTCAAATGAGTTTTCTGTTTATGTACAAACGGCTCAGGTCTGATTGAGCTGGTCGAGTTATGTGCGTCAAGTAGTAAAAGTAGTATCCATCTCACAAATTATTAAAACTTATTTTAATCCTAAATCTCCGACTATAAAACTGGCCATTAAAAATAATACACTTAGGAAAAATGGAACTGTCACAGTAAGTAGGCTTGATATTAATGTTAGCTCTTCTTTCTGTGCTCTGTCAAGCTCATAGTTGGTTAATGGCTAGTGAAATCTGTATGGTATCAGGTTGTCTCGTCTCGAACTGCCTTGCAGCAATTCTCCATTCATGACTACCTGCCTGAATTCAGTAAGATAAATATAATTTAAAAGCAGTCTCCGTTTTGTAGGTAGGTCATACTTCTGTCAGAAACTTACTGAGTGTTCATTTTGGTACGAGCACGTACTACGAAAAATATCCTTCAACTAGTGCTACGTTTTTTAGCAGTGTAGGAAAGCTGTTATTCAAAAATTAGGGAATCAGTAGACTAGTAGAGAGATGGATATGCGTAACCCTACCCAAACTGTATTCCTACTCACAACTTTGTAGTAGTCTTCACCTCAAATTTCAGTAAAGGCGACTTCAGTTTTAAAAACTAACGGCAAGTTTCTCTTTCTTAACCCAGTTTGATAAAATCTTTGATTTATGATGTCTTCTGGGATTGTAACTGGTTTTTCAAGTGCATGCCTTTCAACTACATTTTTGTGCGGACACTGATGGTATTACCTAGTTGGTGAAGCCAGATTACATTTAGTGGCACCGATTGGAAGGCAGGACCCTCGCCGTTAGGCCACCTCTACGCGGCTTGTGATATTAGTTTGCTAGTTTCTGTGGTCACACAACGACATCAAGGGTTTAAGAAAGTCAGTCGCCGTGTTTTTTATCTCCACAAATCGCCGTCAAGCAAATAAAAGTAGTAGTGGGAAGTCATAGACTGAACACATGTCGCTGAAAGTGCTCTGAAATCAACGAACTTGCATTCAACTGAGATGCTATAGGAAATTCTTAGTTCAGGTGGGTAGTTTGGGAGTTTCATTCTCCAAGCTAGATGGCTTGGTCGTTGAGCCGTCATTGTTCTGAACAACATTAACACAAACTTCAGGTAGAAATGAAGTATCCGAATTTCTCCACATATGTCTCAGTTTGTCCAGTCGACCTCGGTCTTGATTAGTTGTTGTTGAGCTTTAACCTGTCGATATCTACCTCTTTATTTTGATTGTATCTCTCTCTAATTTGATTCCCGGTCCTATATTCGTGATTTTCCTGATTGGTTGATAAATTGAATCGACTTTAATGTGCTTGTTGATTACTGATTGGTCTGATTGCTAAGTTTCTAAAAATTCCCTGGTGTTTGCAGTACTCCCTCTACTGATTTCGACATTTTTCCAATCGACTGTGTCCATAGTTGTTCATGTGCGTTGATATAAACGAAGATATGTCATAGCCTCTGACCGCTAATTGACATTCATGCAGGCGAGGATGAAGGTTACATCCACTTTGTTCGATGTTGTGCTTTTTGCAGTTGAGACAGTTTATTTTGCAGATGATGTTCGATTTTTCTTCTTTTGTCATTTTGTCCTTTGGTGTACATAAAATTATTTAGAGTGATTTTACTTGTTTGTGCTACACCCATTACAAACGACTTCAATAATATCGTGATTCCTGATGTCTTTTATGTATGATAGGATGATCCGTTTGTTTGCTTCTTTACTTGATTTCAATTCTGATGAGTTGGGACGATATTTTTCGGTAAATTGCGTGGGTAGTCGTTTTTTTAAAGGATAGTCATTGGGTACTTTTCTTTATTCTTCCGTTCTACAAGTGCTGCAGTGTGTTCTGGCCCTCGAATAAAAATTTTACGCAGTTGATTTTTGTGCATTCAACCAATAAATATATACTCTGGTTAATTTAAGCCATACATAAAGTTTAAGTAGCTTAAGGTTTTAAGCAACCACTAAAAATACATTTGGGTTTCTCGTCTCATTAAAACCTCGAATCTTACACAGATTGTAACAGAAATGTGTTTCATGCAAATCTGGAACTTTTCTCAGTTCAATTTTTTCATGAGATTTTGTTACGATTTGAAATACTGTGTAACTGCATTTAGGACTGATAACTATAGTATCCCTATGTTGTTTCGGAATGGCGGAAATACTTAGATGTGCATTACAATCTTTGATCCTTATTCATCGAACTATGAAAGTTATCTGTGGATTAACAATATTTTCAATACTTGAGTTCATCTACTTATATACTTCATCTTCAAAGCTATACGATCGTACCTTTATAAAATAATCAACGTGATAGAAGGTTTTTCCCATGAGATGTTTATATATGTTAGGTGGAATTCGCAAAGTTCAGTTCATACAATTGTTGTTGCTATCTTGACGTGGTGGTCGGGTTTACCTATCGTGATGAAGCAACCGAGCTATACTGGCTGGAACAACCGTTCCTCAAGGTCCTACCATGTCAAACAGGTCGGTTGAAGAGCGGTAAGACTAAAAGCAACAAACCCAAGGTCCGAAGGCGAAGTCGTACTGCTGACTGTACAGAGGTGTGACAGCAGTAAGGTGTTTCCTTCAGACAACCGGCATGACAGCGATGCTGCCTTCCCACAAGGATGGGTGGGGTTAGAAAAGGTCGACTCTAAAAATGCACACCTCGCCTTATCCCACGGATATCCGTCTCCGGCGGTAAGGTCTCAATAAGTACGGAGCTAACACAAAAATTACCCATAACAAGGTCGTGTGTGACCGACCTCAAGCAGTTGTCCCTTGGGCACTGCGGTCACGCTTCCAGGTCGTTTATTTTTAGCAAACACAAATTTTAAGCATAAGGAGAGACATCGTCTAACATGGCGACCCCCTACACCAAACCAACGATGGACTCAAATAGACCATATTGCCATCAGTCATCGTTGGAGAGGGTCGGTAGAAGATTGTCGCTCATTCTGGAGTACCTGCTTGGACTCCGACCATGCCCTAATACGGGCACGCATCTGCTTGCGCCTCACTGGACGCAAAAAAGCCACATTAAAAAGACCCGTTAGAACTGAGTTGAGTAACGAGAAAACCAAAAGTAGGTTCCAGGAACAACTGAGGTCACACTTAGGTAGTTGTGAAGACGAGGCTGACCCAGATGTTGCTTGGAAGGGCATACAATCAGCTGTGGAAACAGCAGTGACATCTATTAGTGACTTAAACCACAGAGTTACAAGGAACCAGTGGATTTCTTCAAGGTCTGTCACACTGATGGATTCTCGCAAACTCGTCCCATCAGGTTCTGAACATGATGAAGAGCGTAAACAAATCAGATCTAGGTTAAGAAAAAGTCTAAGGAACGACCGTGAGCAGTGGTGGGTAACGAAAGCAAAAGAGATGGAAAAGGCGGCGACTATAGGGAACACAAGACAGCTTTACAGACTAATAAAAGAAACTGGAATTAATAAGTCAAGTGTAAGTGAGATTATTTCGGAAAAAGATGATACTCTCATCTGCTCCCAGTCCAGACGTTTAGAACGATGGGCGGAACATTTTAGAGAACAGTTCAGCTGGCCTTCAGCTACTCTACAACTACCCTCCATTCCCAGACAAGTGAATGGAACATTGAAGTAGGTCCCCCAACTCTTGCTGAAGTTGAGAAGGCTATAGTTAATCTGAAACGAGGAAGGGCAGCTGGTCCAGATGGATTGGCTCCAGAGGTCTTTAAGGATGGTGGTCCAATTTTAGCGATTAGGTTGACTAATATTTTAGCTAAGATCTGGGAATTAGACGTTATCCCATCTGACTGGTCGCAATCACTTATCGTCCCAATATATAAGAAAGGGTCAAAATCATCCTGTGACAACCACAGAGGGATTAGTTTAACTAACATAGTATCTAAAATACTGGCCTCGATAATTATCGAACGCCTAACTAAGACTCGTGAACTACAAACACGAGAGAACCAAGCTGGCTTTAGACCTGGTCGTGGCTGCATCGACCACATATTCACCATTCGTCAGGTTCTAGAACACAGGCATACCTATCGGCGTCCGACGATGGTGGTCTTTCTTGACTTAAAAGCAGCATTTGACTCTGTAGACCGCGAGACTCTGTGGCAGTGTCTGTCATTGAAAGGCGTACCTCAGAAGTACATAAACCTTGTGAAGGCTCTTTACTCGAACACTACTAGTCGAGTCAGGGCTTATGGCGAACTGTCATCTACTTTTGCAACCTCAAGTGGTGTCCGTCAAGGCTGCCCACTTTCTCCATTTTTGTTTAACTTCATCATAGACCTATTGATGGAAATAACACTCTCGTCGACTGAATTCTCGGGTATTGATCTCCTTCCAGGAGGTCCACTTATCGACTTAGAATACGCAGATGACATAGTCCTGTTTGGTGAAGACGCTGATAAAATGCAGAGCACTAAGCAACAATTGTACTATAACCTTATTGCAATCTTTCTTTTATATATTACCACAACTGAATTAACTACTTTTATGAATCCGGTGTCCATCTTGTTGTGCTAATGAGGTATGGCAACTTGGACCGATGCATAAATGTGCCTGGTCCTACGTTGTAGCTGACTGACTAAGCAACAATGCCAGAATGTTTGAAATGCGTTTCTCTCCCTCTAAATGTACGTTGTTGCTTCAGGACAGGACTGCGTCAACACCTGAACTAAGGATAGGGAGTGAAGTAGTCGAACGCGTCGAAAGCTTCACTTATCTTGGAAGTCTGATCAGCCCTAATGGACTGATTTTTGACGAAATCTCTGCACGGATTCGAAAAGCTCGTTTGGCTTTTGCCAACTTACGTCACCTTTGGCGGAGGCGAGATATCCGTCTATCAATAAAAGGACGAGTATACTGCGCGGCAGTTCGTTCTGTTTTAATTTACGGCAGCGAAACATGGCCCTTAAGAGTAGAAGACACCCGTAAGCTACTAGTATTTGACCACAGATGCCTTAGAAATATTGCTGGCATCTGCTGGGATCATCGGGTAAGTAATAGTGAGGTTAGACGCAGAGTATTAGGGAATGATGGTAAATCAGTTGATGAGGTTACGAATGTTCATCGACTGAGATGGTTGGGCCACGTGTTACGTATGCCTGAACACCGATTACCACGACGTGCAATGCTAACTGGTGTTGGAGATGGTTGGAAGAAAGTTAGGGGTGGCCACACCAAAACGTGGCATCAGTGCTTGAAGTCATTAACTTCTAGTCTGAGCCATGTTGGTAGATGCAGACTACTTGGTTGAGGTCCGCATTACTATCGTAATCAATGGTTGGAGACTCTTGGTGATATGACTCAGAATCGATCACAATGACGTCGGTGTATACACTCTCTGTCTTCTCTTAAACTAAGAGATTAAAATCGCTTCGTATCTTTCTTTCTACGAACTAATCCTTTCTTCCTGTACTTTATCCTTATTGCAATCTTTCTTTCATATATTACCACAACTGAATTAACTACTTTTATGAATCCGGTGTCCATCTTGTTGTGCTAATGAGGTATGGCAACTTGGACCGATGCATAAATGTGCCTGGTCCTACGTTGTAGCTGACTGACTGACTTCATACAATTGTGTGGCAGTCCATTGAACAAAGGTCTATATTTTAATCATAAGGCTTTTTGTTCGTGCCATAAATTATTAAGAGCACCAGTCCGTTTGGTTTTCTGAATCTTTGTCACTAAAAAACCAACTGAACCGTTCTTTTAAAATTTTAGCCCATAAATTCAGTGGATTCATGCTATCTTCAAACGCCACCTCATAATGAATAATATTCTGTCAGTTTCCATGTGTTTGTCTAGGTTCCTCTAAAATAGATTTGAATAGCCTAAACGGTTTTTCTGGCCGATAATCTCCGTTCCAATACCGTCCACATTTTCGTTAAAAACAGCAATCTCCACAACCTTATGCTGATTATTACATGTGATCGCTAGTGATAAGCCTCGAGATGTGATTTTCGGAGTTATAATTAGAAGCCGTGACTATTGGAGTTAAACCGTGTCGGGTGTGAAGCAGTTACCCACCGAGGACAATGGGAGATTGTCGTGCAACATCGTGAATCTGTTGATGTTAGACATTAACATAGTTGAATGCCGGCTCAATGGTCTAAAGGTTAAGTGTTCGCGCGAGACTGAATGTTCCGGGCTTGAGTCCGCGCGTGGGATCGTGAGTGTGCGCTGCTGAGGAGTCTCACATTTGGTGAGAAGTGGTTGTCCAGTGCTCCCAGTTTTTCAATGGTCGTTCAACATTAAACGGTTCGTGATCTCAATTAAAATAGCTGGTCTTTACAATCGCTTTTGAAAAAGCAGATACCTTAAAATGGTCTAACAATAAACATTGTACAAATGAATAGGGAGTCTTTGTTCAGTGGCTCAAGTTCGGGTCGTCAAAACCGTATCTCACCTACCATGGTTTGTATAACCAGTTAGCTTCAGTAGTTATCACTAAGACATAGTTTATGGTAACGTATCGAAATCTACATATGGTTGTCAAAATTCCAAGTTTTTAGTAGAATACGTAAACGAAAATGTAATGACCGCAAATATTTTCTCATGAACTCCACATTGCACTATCCATTACGGTGATCGGCAAATCTCCAGTATTAGGAGCACTTTTTCAACATTACAAATGTACGTAAATAAATAATTAGACAACTTGCGTATTCATACACTAAGCTACTATCTCGCAACTGGAACTTCATTATGGTGTATGAGACTACAGCTTTGGAAGCCTTTTTGATAGTGACCGTAAAAATGAAAATGCACTTGAGTTAATCAGTTATATATCTGTTACAATGACTGTAATTTATAAATTCTCGCTAAACACAAATCACAGTATAAGTGTGTTAAAAGTTCACTAAGTAATGTAACGAATATATGTTAAAGGTCGACCTTAAATTCACCTTAAGTCAATATCGATTGTATTGCTCATAAGTTGTATTTGAGTTCTTCACATCCTCAGCAATAGGCCATTTTAATCAGACTAAATGGATCAGTATTTTATTGATAGTGTGTTGTTTTGGCTATTGTCGTTTAACTGCTGTAGAGCATGCTTTTGGGCATTTGTTACAGAAAAAGCTTTAGGCTGCCTTTTAGGGTTAGAAGTGTGAGTACTAACTAACGTAGGTTTTGCTTTAAGAATGCTCTAGACATCTGGTTCCTAAATAGTTTTAGTAAGTTGATCCAATTACATAAAAAGCAAAGCAAACAGGATAAAACATCAAAGAATACGTTGAGCGATTGGGATTAACGAGGCCTGGAGCAGTAAATAACATATCTATATAATCCGGTTGCTAAAGTCAATATTTTGTTACACTGTTTGCTCGTTTTTATTTAACAACAAGAAGTGGCTGTTCCATTTAATCAGCCTAAAATCTACTATCTAGATGATTGTTTCTTAACAGACTGACCCACTTGGCTATAGGCCAAGTCTTACCATCTGTGAAATAGTCTTTGTATTCTACCTACATGAATTCCCAGACAAACGGTTTCATTAGGTTGTTCAGGAAATGATTGATGAAGTACAAAGTGAACAACATGGCTTCAATGATGTATCGTACTAAGAGCGAACTCATTAACTCTTCTTTGAGCTTTACTTTTAGGATATAGAGTTGGTTATATGAATTAAATTAGGTGGATAAGCGCTCAAATTTCCAACTAAGTAGGTCAAAGTTGAATATTTTAACTAACAAATCTGCAAAGAAATACTAATCGACGGATGTATATTATTTCTCATGAACAGACATTTGATCATAGCCGACAAATGTTAGCCGTGGCTTTTGTACGTTCAGTCTATAAGGTCTGTTACTATTCTTTTCTTAAAACTCATTATGAAATGTCTAATCAATTTAACCTATATTTGCTTAAGAAACACTAATTGTCAGAACGCATTGATAAATAGAACTAAATATATCATGTGATTTGTTCAATATGATGCTTCATGTGCATTTTTACTGAAAAGTAATTTTCGTCTCAAGCTGACATCAGTTGCAGAGTCATTCTAGTCTTGAGACAACTATATCGTTCTAGTTGTGAACTCCTCAAAAATTTAAACCTACGACCCCATACGAGTGGGGATCTTTTAAAGTGAAACTCAATAGTGAACATTGTATCACTATGTAGAAATTCAATCCATTTATTTTCAACTTCAGTTAATTTGTTATGTGGTATGATCCCATTATTGTCGAGTTTCTACGCTACTATAAGTATCTATGTCTCCCGGAAATGTATTCCGGATGTCTATAGGCATATTAACCCATTGTCTGTGAAATCTTTCGTCATTCAGTCTTGATAAGTTGCATCACAGTTACATGGAGCAAATCCTAACCTATTTTTACAGTTTCATGAAGTATAGTAGCTAATAAGCATTATCTGAAGCTATTTCATCTGTTGTGTTAGAGTAAAACATTAATATTCACATAATTATTTTTTCATTTGTTACAATATAATAATTCTAATTTTAGGAACCTGTTTCGACCGCGAATAGTTCTCCCAAAAATATGGACAAACTAAAATTACCATTTAGAAACTATGAAACCTCTTCGTCTTCAGAGATTTCGTCTGACAGTGAGCCTGAATTAATTGAAAGACCTGTGATCCAGAAAGTATGTTTTTATTTCCATCTAGTAGTGCGACATTTTAGCCCAAGGATCCAGCCTTTTTAATTCCACCCGACTATACCTTACAGTCAGTGGAAGATTTGGTAATTTTATACACTAGCGTAATTTGTATTTGTTAAATCTCTTAGGCTGCAGATATAAAAGTTTCGTTACTCGGAAAAATATCTCAAGTTTTTGATAAATACGGTAAACTTTTGTTGCTTGCATCAGTCTTAAAATTCATATGTTTAAATGATAATGTGATACCAAACATTGTGTTCAGTAATTGCAAACAGGTTTTTTCAATATGAACTGCGCAAATGACATGCTACTAATTTGATTTCGGATGTGTAAATATATGGTTATGGTCTACTGAGTTCATATGATACTGTCTCGTCGAAAGTTTTATGGATCGTTTCCGTGCGTACAATAGTGCTAATTGTGTCACAAAAGTGTGTGGAATACATGAACAATTTTAAGAGTAATCAATTTTCTCCCAATTTATCTCAAAGATTTATTTTACTGTTACATTGTACCTAATTCACTTTACTTTTCAGTTGTCATCCGTTCGATTAATTCGGCAGTTGTACTGAATGAGCGATCTGTGCTTTTTCTAGAAGACGGAAAGTATCTGGGTGAGGTGAGTGTCCTTTTATTCCGAATCATTCGACGTTATCAGTAGGCAGGCTATTGTCTGTAGTTGTGTTAAAGAATTAGTGAATCAACGTTAATTTCCCACCAAACATTATTTTCAATTATTATGTATTGATTTTGGTAACAGGTGTATTAGACTTCGTATAGCCCTACTGATTGATCTTTCATGAACATTTGACGGCTAAAGTAATGATTTAAACATTTTGAGTACATACGACATTTAACCATGCCATGAAATATTAGGTTATTAAAGGACCTATAACCAGTAAAATAAACCTGGATATTCCTCGACTATATATGGTTTAGAGATTAACTGGTTATTCACGACTGCTACTGAGTGACGAAACATGATTACTTGTTCTTTGGTGATGCTAAATTTACATCTGTCCTGTGTCTACTACTTATTGATGTACAACAAATATTTTTATGGAGACCGCTTCAGAAATAAATGTGCACAATTCATGAGTCTAACTAAATAGTTTTGAATCCAATCAATGCGGATAAACTTGATTTAGTATACAATAGTATTATATAGAACAAAGTTCAGAATCTGAAATTTTTCAATCATCGCTCGTTGGAATTCCGTAATTTATGCCTTTTATGCGAATATCATATGTATTGTATTATTCGTGACTTATTATTATGAGCATGATTCAACTCAGCATTTTTGTTATGGCTTTAAATTGTGGTTGACTTTTACCCTGTGCTAATTGTTGTGTCCTTGACTGGAAAATTAGAGAGCAGCGTACTTATCGATCGATTCAATGACACGTAAACACGTACGGACGGCCTAGAGTCTCGATTGGTCTCACTTCCCTGTCTAGCCCAGTCAGTTGCGTCCAGAACACAAGTCACAGCCTCGGAGAATGAATCACTATATTTCAAACATACTTTGTTTATATACCAATCAAGCATACCACATCGTACCATAAAATAGAAAACAACATTTTGTAAAATATTCAACAAGTGAACAGATACCGACCAATAGGAAATGTCCATTTAAAGTCCAAGGACACCATTGGACTTAACATGATAATTATTGGTCTATTCTTCCGCATCCACAACAATTTTATTTATCAATTGTATTATCATAACAGATTAATTTGTCAAGATTTGGTGACACAGACTACATGGAAATTCATAAATTGATTGTTACGCGCATGGATTGAATAATATATAGAATCCTTATTTGGCTTTTCAATTAGGATTCATCCCACATTTTTATGACGTATCGGTAGGGATGCAGACTATTATGTCTGTATTATTCAACTAGGTAAACATAAGTGACTTCATTTCGAGAAATTTCAACACAGTACAACTCATTTACAGATTAAATCTAATAAAAGTAAACTAAATTTTCACGCAAATTAGCATTAAGCCATATAGTTAATGGTATAATCAAATTATCTAAACCAAATAAATAGGTTCTAAATTGATGATACAGAACAGTAGTAGGTGTTTGAGCAAACTTTTTGTATTGATATCTATCAAAGGTTTATGAAACATTTGGCCCAGTACGTACTCCATTTTATCTGGTGATCCTTTCCAAATCATTTTGTGTACCCGAGTTAAGAAATGATCGGATCTCAGGTTCACGCAATTGTACAATTTCAAAATCAACGAACTATTCTGAAAATTTGGAACCTCAAACACCAATTGAATCAGTTACTAATACTCAACTTGATAATGACAATTCACTTAATGATAGCAGCAGTCAGAATCCTTGTGAAATTGAAATACCAATTACTGACAACAGTGATGCTATCAATTATGAAGAAAAGAGAAAGGTTAATCATTCATTGAAGGAAATATCCGTGTTCTATGCACCCGATATACCTGAACTCACTATTCCTGTCTTTTACAACCAATTAATTGCTAATAACACCAAAGGATCAGATGCATCTTGGGTAGGCGATACGGAACCACCTCCTGAGGTAAGTTCATAAAATCAGCATCTCTTGTTAATATGATAGTTCGATAGACCATATTAAGTAATTTTCTCTTTTTCATCCATAATCCAGTAGTGAAAAAAAGGAACTTTGACACCACCTCAAACATTTAAATGCAGTTATCTACACCCTTTCGTTATGCAACAAAATAATAGCTCTAATTTAATTAGAGTACGGTATGGTATGTCTAAACAATGATTGAAGCTGAAATAGATTATGGTTCTTTTCACAGTTTAAAACATATTGTTAAATAAGGTGAGCAGATGTGGTCAGCAGTGAGGTGTTTCCCTCGGACAACCAGCATGACAGCGATGCTGCCTTCTCACAAGGAAGGAAGGGGTTGGAAAAGGTCGACCCTAAAAATGTCACACCTCACCTTACCTCACGGATTTCCGTCTCCGGCGGTAAGGCCCTTTGAAGAACGGAGCTAACACGTCAAAAACCTTCCACAAAAAGGCCGTGCGCGACCGGCCTCAAGCAGTTGTCCCTTGGGCTCTGCGGTCACGCTCCCAGGTCGTTAAGACCAACACTAATCCAATTTCCTTTTCAGGTTCCTCAAGAAATACCCTTCCACGGTGTGGGCAGCCGGGAAGTGATATCAGCCCTCATACCCGTAACAGCACACGAGACCAATTGGTCACATTCAAATCCTTCCTACACCTCCTAATACCTCTCTTATCTCCATGACTAACCCTCCTCACGTCTCTTTATCACCTCGCACCGCTAGGGCAAACGATTCGAGTACGCGGAACGCTATTCCTGGTCTCCTGAAACCACGCTCTAAACTACACGTAGGAGCTTTTAACGTACGAACACTGTGCCAAATAGGACAGCAGGCTTCCTTAGCTAGGACTTTAGAATCCCGCGCCATCGATGTGTGCTGCGTCTCCGAAACGCGCATACAGGATCCAGTAGCGTCATTCATTTGACCTCACCATGCCAAAATAAAGAACCGACTCGATTCACACTTCGTGTATCTGGAAGCCCTGATTCTGCTTCCCGTGGCCTCGCCGGCGTAGGTATAGCATTGAGTCCTAGGGCAGAACTAGCTCTCTTAGAGTGGATCCCAGTAGACAGTCGTTTGTGCGCTGTCCGACTGAACGGAACAGTAAGGATCCGAAAAGGGGACACTCGTCGTTGCCTCTTCGTCGTCTCTGCCTATTCTCCCACTGACTGCAGCTCAGATGATGTAAAAGATGAGTTTTACAGAAAGCTCTCCGACCTTCTCCGAAAAGCTAGGCGCTCGGATGTAGTAATAGTGGCCGGTGACTTTAATGCTCAAGTAGGTAAACTAAGCGATAGGGAAAGACACCTAGGTGGATCTTATGGGTCGTGGCTCAAAGAACAGATAATGGCGACCGTCTGTTGCAGCTATGCTCAGATAACCGCCTGTTCCTTGCAAATACTAACTTTAAGCATAAGGAAAAACATCTTTTAACATGGCGACCCCCTAATTCGTCCCAACGTTGGACCCAAATAGATCACATCGCTATCAGCCACCGATGGAGGGGCTCGATAGAAGACTGTCGCTCATTCTGGAGCACATGCCTAGATTCAGATCATGCTCTAGTGCGAGCGCGTATTTGCTTGCGTCTTACTGGACGTAGGAAAGACGCTGCAAGGAAACCTCTTAGGGCCCTACTTAATGATAGTCAAGCTAAGAGTATATTTCAGGAACAACTAGGAAAACAGTTAGGCAGCCATGTATGTGATGCCCACCCCGAGGCAGCATGGAATGATATCCGAAAAGCTGTGGAAACAGCAGTGATATCTGCTAGTAAGGTAAACCAGAAGGTTAGGGAGCAACACTGGATCTCAGCAGCATCTATCGCACTGATAGATGCTCGGAAACTCATTCCACCTGGCTCTGAACATAATGAAGAGCGGAGTCAGCTTAAGCGCAAGCTGACAAGAAGTCTACGCAATGATCGTGAACAGTGGTGGGTAGCGAAAGCAAGAGAGATGGAAAAGGCAGCGGCAATAGGTAATAGCAGACAATTGTTCAGACTTGTTAAGGAAACCGGTATTAGGAACCCGACTGTTAGCGAAACAATCTCAGAGAAAGATGGACATATTATACATTCTCAATCCAGGAGATTGGATCGATGGGCAGAACACTTTAGGGATCAGTTCAACTGGCCTTCAGCCACACTTCGGTTTCCCACGATCTCCAGTCAACCTGAATGGCAAGTTAATGTAGGTCCTCCGTCTCTTTACGAAGTTGAAAAAGCCATAGGAAATCTGAAACGAGGGAGAGCAGCAGGCCCTGACAGGTTTACTCCTGAGATTTTTAAGGATGGTGGTCCAGTATTAGCAGTGAGATTAACTGAGGTCTTAGGTAGAATTTGGGAACTGGACGTAATCCCATCTGACTGGTCTCAATCACTGATTGTGCCAGTTTATAAGAAAGGACAAAAGTCCTCTTGTGACAATCACAGAGGAATCAGTTTGACTAATATAGTGTCTAAAATATTAGCTTCAATAATACTTCGACGCCTAACTAAAGCTCGTGAAGAGCAGACTAGAGAAAACCAGGCTGGTTTTCGACCTGGACGTGGTTGTATAGATCAGATATTCACACTACGTCAGGTTCTAGAACACAGACACACATTCAGACGCCCCACAATGGTAGTATTTCTCGACCTTAAGGCGGCATTCGACTCTGTTGATCGTGAGGTTCTATGGCAGTGTTTGTCACTGAAAGGAGTACCAAAGAAGTACATTAACCTTATAAAGGCTCTCTACTCGAACACAACTGGTAGAGTGAGAGCTTATGGCGAACTGTCATCAGAATTGATTACCTCAAGTGGTGTTCGTCAGGGCTGTCCACTCTCCCCATTCTTGTTCAACTTTGTCATTGACGTACTTTTAGAGATAACACTCTCCTCATCTAAATTTCCAGGGGTTGAACTTCTACCGGGAGGTTCACTTGTTGACTTAGAATATGCTGATGACATAGTTTTATTTGGTGAAGACGCTGACAAAATGCAGAGTCTTCTGACCACTCTAAGCAACAATGCAAGCATGTTCGGGATGCGATTCTCCCCTCGAAATGCAAAATGTTGCTTCAGGATTGGGTTACATCGACACCCGAACTAATGATAGGGAGTGAAGTAGTTGAGTGTGTCGACCGCTTCACTTATCTTGGAAGTCTCATCAGCCCTTGTGGTCTGGTGTGTGACGAAATCTCAGCACGGATACAGAAGGCTCGACTAACGTTTGCCAAAATTATTCTGAATACGCTTCATCTCCTCATGGATTTTTGTTACATTTACAAAGTAATAGGAGTTCAATCATCATGAGTGTTTCATTTTCAAGAATGTATTGGGCTGGCATTCATGTATTTTCCTATCATATGTTTTATATTACTGATGTACAAACCGTTCCTGTCTCTCGATGAAAGCGTTTAAATGAGCTTTTCAATCGAGTGTTAAATACTTGAGATTCCGTGTCACTGATGACAAAACTGCAGCTGAAACCTATTACATAGAAGTTGTCAGTTGTCTTCCCTCATTATTTTACTCTATTTTATCGATGTAGCCCTGCAAACCTTCAAGCTCTTGAATCTCAATTAACGTGGTTTTTATCCAATACGTTTTCCAAACATGTTTCCAACCTATGGTTTTATGTTTGTTTCATAAAAACTTCATTTAAAACTACATACTATTAGCAACCTAAGTTTCTGTGCCATCATTTTCAGATATATGTTTTTCCATCGTAATATTTTAGAGAACTCACTTTTTATGTTATTCCTCATTGCTGGTCTCACCATCTTAATCATTTCCATCTCATTCAATTATTAAATCACCTAACAGTTTCATTTCTCTGACTGTTCAGCAAGACACCTCGGGGTTATCCCAGAGAATTCCACGTCGTGCATTATTTGCTGACGCTGGGACTGGTTGGAAAAAGCGGAGAGGTGGTCAGTGGATGACATGGTGTCGTGGTATGAAAGAAAGCTGCAAACAGATGGCTCCTGTTGGTCCTTCACGACTCCCTTGTTGGGGTCCGAAAGATGGTGCTACACAGTGGCTAGAGAGGTTATCAGATATGGCTCAGAATAGAAGCCAGTGGCGATCCTGCCGTAACCTTTTACTTTCTTCATAAAAGTGGTTGTTTCTTCCTTAACTGAAAGATTTGTTCCGATTGTACCTTTCCGTTCCCCCATTATGACTATGATTATTACTACACTCCCTTACACCAATCTCTTCATTATTGTTCTTTTTTTACGTTCCTCATTTTTTTTTTCTTAAATTCTCATTGTTTTGTGTGACGCATATATATTTGGCGCACTCCTGTACCAATATATATGTGTTCAAATAAATAAATAATATTCGTGTGATTTCCCGTATGTCATTAAATTACCTAAATAGGAGATTGGATTTACCTATATGCTCACTTACTATAGTTTAAACTGTTTCAGGAATAATTATTTCTATAAATTGCAAAGATGGGTTTATGCAATTGTGTGTTGGGCGTTTGGCGGTTCGTACATTAACCATTAAGTGAGACAATTAATCATACAAAATATTCCATATCAACTGACCAGAGACCATCAGTAATAACCTGCTGTGGCAGGAAACAAACCGGCTTTCAGCTTAGAAAATTAGGATAAGGTACTGCAATAATCACCAATTTGCGTCACAAGGCAAGTTTCAACGTGGGATTCCCAAGGCAAAAGAAAACGAGGCAAACCGAATCGCATGGCGCTGTGTTTTGACAACACGTCAGAAGGATCAGTAGCACTTCAACAAGTGGGAAGGAAAGCCCACCACAGAGTTAGCTGGAGATTCCTGGTCGACGGCTTGTGCCTCATAAGGAGTAGCATGCTTAAGTGCAGTGAAATTATTACTTTTTGACTGTTAATTCCAAGTCTATTTTTTATTCGAATACAAATATTGGTACAAGGGGGCTGCCTCGACGTGCGATGTTCAGTGGTATAGGAGTAGGTTGGAAGAAAGCTTGGGGCGGCCAGACCAAAACATGGCACAAGTCCATGAAGTCATTGACAAGTGGACTGAGTCATGTTGGTAGGTAAAGACTACCTGGTTGGGGACCGCGAGATGATAGCAACCGATGATTAGAGACCTTGAATGACATGGCTCAAAATGGTTTGCAATGGCGCAGGTGCATACACTCTTTGTGTTCTCCCAAATTTTGATCTCCTTATTCCTCCTTGTCTCTTTTTTTTCTCCTCTCAAATTTATTTCACTGTATTATACTCTTTAAGTAACATCTCCAAACACTAATCTTCCCGATTACTGCTTATACTCTTATTACCTCTACTACTACGGGATTTGAATCGACCACTGCATCTCTATGCTCATGTGGTGTGGCAACTCGAACTGATGTACGTACGTACGAAGTTCTACGTTGTTACTGAATGGTCATTTTCATAGCCACTTGAAAATTAGTTCACTCTCGCGAAATTGCAGTATACTGTGTAGGTAATATACTACTGTTTCATAAACTGCAAACATTCTACATGATAGATATGTTTGGAAACTTTTTATACACCAAAATTATAAAACACTTGTATACGAACAATAGAAATCTATTACTAAAGATTTTGAGACTATTCGAAATTCGACAGTACTACGTTTCACTGTGATAAGAAATTTTCTGTCTGATTACTGTCAATAAATTGGTTTTGACTTAGGCACTGGAATTTTCAGACGATGAACGTGAAAAACTGTATAAACGCGCGTTAAAGATGAAACGAAAATCACAGACACCAGGTGAGTTATTTATACGTTTCTTACAATTGCAAAAGCCTAATTTCGTTTACCATCTAGTTAATACTTTATTTGGAAGAGGAAAATTAATGTATGATAGAGTAGTTAAGTAAAATGAAAATTAAGATTATAATCATATCTTGTGGTTAAGTCGATATTTATCTACTCAATAAAAATCCTATTCCGATGACAGGCTCTCTCTGCTCTTTGATAATCTAATTTCTACGTCAGCACATAGTTATCGTTGAGAAAGTAGCTAAAACGTTGTGTTAGGCTTGTTGAAGCAACTAAACTTATTGTTTTAAAATAGACTTGCAAAATAATGATTCTGGAAATCACAGAATTTGAATAGTATGGAGGGAGTAACTAGAAACGTTGTCACCGACTACAAATGTCGAAACATGTTGTAGAGGAACATTGGCATGATCAAATTACATTTCCGTATATTAACAGCCTATGAATGACTAGAAAAATGTCACTTAGAAATGCGCTCTTTTATTCGTGAAAGTTTTATGCACTGTCAGTATCAGTAAGTGGATATCACTTTTAACATATATTTAACAATTATAAGCATAAGAGTTTAAACCACATTTGCTTTGATTCCAAACAGAACCAACAAACTCAACCCAAATGTTAAGCTGGCCAAAGAAACATGATAAGCGGCATGGTAAACCATCATTTGCTGTAAAGAAACATCCAACTGCATTTGCGTCGAGCGTTCAACCCGTAGATCGTGCCTGTGGATATTCACTTCAACAACAATCCTGTAGCCTAAGACCTTGCTTACCCATCCAATCACCAAATCACTGGAATATGTATCCTAGCGTTCAACCTCAATGGCAAAATCCGACTTATGGTCACAGCACCTGGCCTTCCGTACCTTCATACCCTCCGACAGTACAGAATCCTTACCCATATGTACCGCGAAACGCAGTGCCGCCACATCCGTTTTCATATCATTGTACGTTTGTCGGTAAAACATTCAATTTCTATAATATATTATATTTTCCTCTACAAGGTTAATCTGCTTAAAAATCATATGCCATCAAATTGCATAATTATTAAGTATTGGGAAAGTGCTTTTTCAACATCAGCTATGGTTTCTATGTAATTTAGCAACAAAAGTATCCAAAACCCATTTCTAGATTCATATCTACAAAAGACGTCAAAAGCATTCAAATGAAATCAAATACTAGCAGTTTAGGACAATAGGCTCGTTTCTGTTAGCATTTGGCGTAGGCTTTTTGGCTTGTCTTTCAACCATTGTGATTAGTCGTCTACAAAAACGTTGTTTAGATTGTCATATTAAGAAGACGCTTGTAGAATTTACGCCTTCACTAAATCCCTGTAGAACTACGAAACCAATCGCTTGAATGCAGTTAGCGATCTATGGAACTATAACTTTTTCGGTACTGCACGAAGGTCAGTCAAGGCAGTTTCAGTATTTTTCTAAATATACTTTTCTTTTACTAGAACCTTTTCCCAATTTTCTTCTTTCTGTTCGATTCGAAATAGATGCTCTCCCTGAAGAACCTTACCAACAGAATTCGTGGTCACCGTATGCTCCATCGTGATTACAAAATTATTCAACGTTTCATAAACCATTTATGCACAAAATATAAATATATAAGTATATAGCGATTAAGTGATCTTTTTTATTATCATATACCAAATATTATTATAGTTTTTAAGCTTGACTGTACACAAGCGTAGTTTATACAATAGTAGCACCTGAAATTTACCTTAGTACTCAGGTGTATACATGTTGGGGACGTTAGATCCCCAGAACTCACTTGGGAAAGGATCTAATCTTGTAACTTTATTTAGAAAATTTGAATTTCTTTGTTTCCGCGCCAAAGACGCTCTTGTCACCATGTCGTATTTCCCACTGGGAAATATCTTGAATGCTATCGGTCCGTTGCGTCTTTTAGTATGCTATTTGGTAACTCTCCCCAAGGGCGGTTTTGTACTGTATATATACGTTTTGAATTGTTTGTTGTTATCGCTCGTTTCTGGCTGTTTGCAGAATATACTCCCCCATTCCAAGCTTGGACTTCTCCTTCTAGTTAGCGGGGCTGGGACGCATCAATAGCTAGCTTACTGGTCACCGACTCTTGTTTCTCGTTCGCAGATTAAGTGAACTCGTGATAGCTTCAACCCTAGCAATACATTTCTAAAAGTATCGTTTAAAAATTTGACCAGTTTTGATGTTAACTAAATCTTAAGATTATTAATAAGTTACCAAAAGTCTGTGTCTAGGCGAAGCTGGCGAAAAATTAGTCGTTGCGAACTGAATGCGTCATATGACTATTCTCAATGATTATGGGCAAAAAGCATATTCTGAAAGTGGACACCCGATGAAGTGTAATTCAACTTTGAAAAAAAATTAACCATTGAACCAAGTAGCCCTATTTTTTTTAGCTCCAATTTAGTGTACACAAAGTGGAATGAGTGTTTTATAACTGAAATCTAAAAACAAGTGCAATAAAGTTCATGCTAAAGGTTATACATCGATATTTAAGTATATTACAGAATGGTTTATTTGAAAATGTTAGACACGGAATGTACGTACAACGCGAACAATGCTTTGTCTACATAGTGGGCATTCAGTCAGCTTTCTTCCGCAATCAACACAAGAAAACAATGACCGCATTCTAAAAAGACACAATTAACTGGAGCTTCCATACAAACCCCGCATTCATTATTCAAATCAACTGGACATTTCTCACTCGATGTTCCAGCATTCTGACAATCTTCAAACTCTACTGCTTCTTGAGCTTCAAATATGACTGTAGAAAGAAAACATAAAACAACGAATTGATCAGTGTGTTTTTATGGACATTATTACGGATTCTTATAGAATTGTGATGTTTTTCATACAAATAAACAAAAATCGATATTGACACTATTTCTATATGTAGATGGATGTGGATAACAGCAACTTAACGTGTCGAACTGAGATAGAAGACATTTTAGTCAAATTGTCTGTTTTCTCGCAATCTATGAAAACGTACTTTTGTCCTAATCAGAACTATCACTAACGAAGTGCATTGCCGTAAGCATTCCTTCAGAGACGACTATGGTTCTCTGAACATCTTCAGCTCAGAGACCTTGAATTATCTCTCCTTACTTTGCCTGATGTGTTATACAGAGCCTCCAAAATACTGGTGTTTTTCAGACGCTCGTGCTTAGTAGACAATCTTAGGGCAAAATCCGGTCTAACGAGCAGAAAGTGTTTCTGATGTTAATTCATGGTCGTTGCTCTGTGAAGTTTTTCACGAGACGAAGTTTTTTTACACCCACAAAAGCATTGTTTGAAGCTCATGTAACCGAGTACGTTAATCTGATCAAGGGTTTTGGATTTGATATGATTACCCTTCAAGGAGGTTTACGAGTAGAATTTGAAATTTAGTACGATATTTAAATAAGTATATTGATTAGCTTTATGCAGTTTCCATGAATCATCACTAAGGTCATAAATTATTTTTCCAACACTGGGACTCACGTGGTTGTTGCTGTTTGTAATTGCGCCATAACTGTTTCGCTCTGGCAATAAGTTCAGCTTTTTCCACACAATGAGTGAAGTCAACAAAATTGTAGACTAAAAGATCTTTGATCTGACGAACAGAAAGATTTTCAATGGATTCTTCTGAAATCAAGTCTTCAAGTTTAACGTTACGTTTTGTTGAGTCTGGAAACTAAGCATAAATTATATTTTCATCGATTGATAAGGTCTAGTAAAATTGAAAATTATAGATTACCGGGCTATAAAAGTATATGCACACCGTTTAGACTTTCAATGGATATTAAAAGATAAACAATATCTCAATTAAGACAGACGTTTCAGGACAAGCCTATAACACCGAATTAGTAAGCTACACATATGCTGACGTCCTGAAAGTGATAGTTCTAGGATATGAGAACAGCAATAACGTGAGACAAGTCAACTTTACAGAATGTCCTAGACGAGTTCTTCCAAGTGGTCTTATCCGTCATTCTGCTAGTATCCTCAACGCTGTTCAGATTCTGTCACTAGTCTCTATTTCTGCAATTTCCTTGAAAGAGTACAAAACAGTTTGTTTTTTCTGCCTGACAATGGAGCAGTGGCCGTGGTTTAATTACAGCACCATTGACCAATAAACCATCGGTTTGAACGCGCAGAAACTTGGTAGTACTGTTAGCCTTCAAAATGAATGGATAAATAGGCAGTAATAGGTATCACATGCTTTTGGTACTGGTACGTTTGATAGTTAATGCTTTGAAAGTAAGAGGACAAAACTCATATCTTTAAATGAAATTTACAGAAGATGGTTTTCCTTAGGTCATAAGTTATTTGTTCTCTTGTATCCCAACGTTAAACACTGGTTTACAATGTTGATAGTTTTACTGATTTCCCTCAATACCATTTAACTTGCATCGGGATAAAAAGGTTAAATCTTGTTAAGTAAGCATTAACAAATTGATATATTGTAAAATCGGACATTATTTTTGTGAAGTAATTTAGGAAAACTTGAGTAAAAAAGTAAAGTGATAAGGTGTCAAACGAAATAATTTACAGTTTGAGAACTTCAAGATGAATGGATAAATATTATTTTTGTGAAGTAGTTTAGGAAAACTTGAATAAAAAAGTAAAGTGACAACTGAGTCTGTGGTTCATTAATTTTAAACTAGTAAATGCACTGGCAATCTACATTTCTCTGAGTAAACAACAATAATGAAGTTTATTTTAGCAATCCAACCTCTAGAACTTTATTCTGTTGAGAAGCACTTTATTTTAGTACATAATGTTAAGGTACGGTCATCCCTTATTTATGTAATACATAGGATTTGAAGTAAGGATCTAACTTTACCAAAGGACAGAATCTATTAAGACAAACAAAATTTCTCAACAAAACAGACTCAAGCCCAAAAAGTCCCTTTAGATTCTGACATTTTCGAATATTCGAGAGTTATCAAGCAGACCACGCTAATAAGTATATAATGAAATAGGTTTTTAGCTTTTTGAAATCTTCAAATGATATTCGGAAGAGATCCGATGTTTCTATTGCACAGCCAATACTATTTGTGTAGAAATGAAAGTAAAAAATACGCTTGATCTGTACACTAACCAAATGGTCATCAGCATTTGTACTTCGGGTGGTAATGCCTAGACTGTTCAGCACTGCATCCACAAATTGCTCTTTCTCAATCAGACCAACGAACGGTATATTACGACGTCGCATAAACCATTTTAAATCACGGATATTAAGACCCATTACTGAATCCCAGCTGGCTTGATTTGACTGTAAAACTCTGCACCGGTTGCATAAAATTGTACGATCTGGAAAAATGCAACAAATACATTTCTAAAACATGTTATGGTAAGATCAACACTTCGGTTAAATTCTTTCATGCTACGTGTTAGGAGTGCGATATATATTGGTATGATTCGGGTGTTTGTCACAAATATAAGGCCAGATTCTTTACCTTCAACACGTTTTTCTGATTTTCGTTTTTTCTACGGAATAAAGCTCCATAATTAATACAGAACCAAGATGCTTTTCTAAATCTTTTTTGGATTCCAAGTATTATTTTAGTACTCTTCCTCACGTTTGAATTTAACTTAATCACAGTCAGACTTGGAAAATCACGAATACCAAACTTCTCCTTGTGTAAGAACTAAAGACTTCAATGTTTTTCATTAGGATGGTTTATGTGTGGGTAGAAGTGAGTAATAAAGTGAAATTGCTGTGAAACTGGCAGGAAAAAGAAGAGTAGATGCGATTTTTACACTTGCATATAATTATGCTGATAACTTCCAGCTTTGATTCAGAAACAACATAAGTAGTTATTTACATATATTCATGGGGACTGGGATTTTACCAACCACTCGTTTACCTAATTGTTGTGACCACCATAAGCAGAGATGGATGGTAGCTAGCAGTGGAGTCCAGGACTCAGGTTTCGCCCTATTTGTATCTCGTAAGCTGGATGCACCTACATCTCAAAGTAGATGTACACCCTGGGACTCAAAATTGGGCAATCCGCATAGGACGGATATATGCCAATAATCGACTGGTCAATTGCAGTCCTAAATATCAATAGAAAGATTCGAACAACCAATACAAGAATTGTGTGGCCACTGTTACGACGGGAGATTTGAAGCAGCACTAATAGCATTGATACTTCCATCTCAATATTTGGTTAATTATTTGTTATCTGATAAGTTAACGCACTACTTTGACCGAACATTCCGCCTACAAAAAGCGGCTTAAATTTGATGGATTTTATAGACGAAATGATGGTGTATCGATGGGGTCATCACTCGCCTCACTTCTAGCCAAGTATTTCACGGAGAATCCACCCAGGGGAGTTGGAAACACTGATTTCAAACCAATGGTGCACATGGGCTCAACGATCCTAAGGAAGCAAATGGCGTGTGAACCTATTATTGGTCGCTGGCTACCTTATGGTTGCTCCCGCTAAAGTTGCTTCATTGACTTGTGGTTTAGAATTTTTGGTCAAAGACTCCGGGCATAGCCCCCTAAGAAAAGAACCTACTTCTGTTTGAGCATCCGAGGAGTATCCCAGCCATCACACAATGAATGATTTATGTGGTACAAATATATTTTGTGCCTTCTTGTACCAATGTTTATCTGCTTAAATAAATTAATTATACATAAGACATATTTCAGCTAAGCTTTCATAGCCTGAGCAAAAACATCGAACGCAACACCTTCCTAGAGCAGATAAATAGTTGCAACCAATCAATTAAGTTCGCGACAGGGTCACAACTGAACTCTCGATTCCACTTCTTGGATAGATAATTATCTATCGTCTTTAAACTGTCTTCATCTTAACGTATCCTCATTAAGTACTAGATTAATACATAACTTCCTTCCAATATTTGATATTCCCAAACAATTCATGAAGCAATACAAATTACGATAAATTTGTTAAATTACGCAACACCTTGTTTTATTATACACTATCATATTCGATATTTAAAACTTTTGATTACTGTTGATAACTTTTTTAGGTAACACAACACCTTTTTATTTCATTATAGACCATTATTTTCAAAAATTAAAAAATAAATGCGACTTTCTAGCTAAATTTTGTCAAAGACATTTTTTAGATGCATTGTTTTAATTCTTTTCTATCACACAACAATTTAGTTAATTTCACCGACACGATAGTTACAAGCACAATTCAATTCTTAAAATGGCTATTGGAATAATAATCAGTGAGAATACAAATAATAATGAGAACAATTCTACAAACTAAATAATCTGGAAAACCAATTTATAATACTGAACAGCTAGTCACGTATGATACTAAATATTGCTCATTTAATAAAATTAAGCTGATTAATCTGCAGAGCAAGCGATTAAAATAATATAGTGATAAACAACAAATCAATGATGAAAATGAAAGGTCAATTCCTACCACAGAATACAATGCTACCTTTGTTATTAACGTGTAAGTAGCAATGATACTAACAACTACCCCAAACAATAACAAATCAATAGAGTGTGATCGAAGTTATTGTACAAGTAAGAATAATGTCTGTGTTAGCGGGACATAGACTAGATTAAAGCATGCTCAATGCATGATTGCTTTGGTGCACGCTGATTGGCTAATTCTTATCCAATCAGCACTAGTCGATAGTTGGAGAATACTCTGGAATCTTCTTATGTGAAAACTATAAATATACTGACGTTTTCCCTATTGCGCTTCTGACTTGCTAATTGGAATATAATCTCTTTCCTGTTCAACCGTGTTCTGATTTGGGGTCTTGTCGAGTGAATCGGTGTCCGAGAATACTAAGCAATAGGAATAGCTGGGTCATAACCGTAAGAAGAAAGAGGTTATAACAGTCTGGATATTACTTCTGAATTGATCAATACTATCCAGGAGAAATACAGGTTTTAATCAAACTGTAACCGAATGAGACCGACTAGCGAGCTAACGAAGAACAGAAAATTCCATCCACCATTTCAATCCCGTAGTCTGAGGTTCACATTCTGCTACTTTAATCAGTTTATTAAATTTATATGCTGTTGATCACCAATAATTTACAATTCTCTTTGAACTTACCTACTTAATATCCTGAAGAGTAACATGCTAGTTAATCTTCGATCTAGCTGTTTTAATGACAGGAATAGTGGGAGTGAATCCATATTGCCTGTTGCTCCATAACCTTCATTTATATCTTTAATTAGTTAACTGGGTCGCACCATTTATTAATTAGCTCGTTTTTATATAAGTTTTGTTCCTCTATTACGCACTTAATTAGCAAGGTTTGACTTTTGAACCCGGTCTAGTTGAGAGTCGGGGCTCAGCCCTGTGGGAAGATTATCTTTTTGATCACCTTAATCAACAAGTGATTCGAGAAACATGTCTTACAGCTTTTTATCTGACCAATTTTTCGTTATTGTAAACAAATCATTTCCTTGAATTTAGATAAGATGAATCGTGTGGCGCATATATATTTGTTGCCTCCCTTGTACCAATATTTGTGTTCAAATAAATAAACAAATCGTCTAGCACTAATCTCTTTAGGTGCACCTACACAAAATCCTGGTAAATGACAGTCTCTAATGTTGTTTTGAAGTGTATGTTATTTAGGACGCTTATACTTAATACGCTCAGACGTTAAGATGGTCTTTTGTATGTATATACATGACATCTGAAATGAAATCGTAAGTTTTTGGTGAAATCCCTACAAGTCTCATTATAATACGTCTAAAAATTAAATTTTAAATTTGTCAATAAAAATTATTAGGCGTCTGAGTTTCCAAGCATCAGGAACTTAATAAGAATGATATAAAAAAGTTGATGAAACATTATATTTTAAAAATATTTGTATCCTAGCTCAACTTATTAAAAACTAACTCGTACTTCGGTCTAACCAAATCACCTTTAAACCTACCTGGACCAGTTGAAGAACAGGCTGAACAATAAAATTCATTACACGACTGACAAATGCCAGAACCAGTTTCTGGAAGAGTAAATTTCTTCGGGCAGGCTGAGCAAGTGTTAGGCATAAGGTTTCGAATGAATGAGAACGTCCGATGTGTCAGACAAAAAACGGTTTTTGTATTCAGGTACAGTTCTCCTTATATTGTATATCCACATATTCATATAACATGGTAAAAAATGTCACTGAAGTAATTAAATATAAAGTGGGGTTTTTACTAATTACTTACATAAAGCCACAATTATCCCATAAATTCATAGTCATTTTGAATGAATTAATTCTATTTTTCTAAAATGACTTGATTTCAGTTGACTATTACCAGAGGGGATCGGACGGGCGTCTACAAGTTCTTTACAAGCTACCATCGAATTCTAGATATGATGCAACAACATGTATGTACAAAAAATTCCCATATCAATTAAGGTTTATCAGTTCAGTCCCATACAATTAATGATGTAAAAGTTTGAACTTGCATAAAATTTATTCCACTTTGTAGCAAATCAAACCGATACACAATGGTGGCAAGTCCTAATTAGTCTATTACTAACTGGCTGTTTGAACAAGTCCTTAAGGTGTGCTTGCAATCCATGTTTTTTGATATCATTGTAGTATACCTGGATTTTATTATATTCTTAATAGTAACCAAGTGTTTACATGCTGGGATATTTGATTTTGAGACCACAAAGTATTCTCCAAACATATTTCATTTCTTAGTGAATTGAAATATAGATTGAAACGAATATATTTGGTGATGTTTATTGAAACTTCTGTACAAATGACTAAAAATGAGGTGAAAGATTGAAGTACATATCACCCTAGTGCAGAATCACAACCGAATCAGATGGTAATTATTTAGAGAACCGTGTATAGAAATAAAAAAATTAATCATAGAAACGGTGTGCGAAATCGTAAAAAGTAAATACATAACGACAGAAACTTACAAACAAACCGTATTGATGCATTTAGGATTCCCGTACGCCTACGGAATCGATAACTTTGAATGGTGTTCGTCGTAGTGGTTATCCGCTTATCTCATTTCTATTTAACTTCCTCAGAGACATCATCTTAGAGATAACGCTCTTATCGTCTGACTTTGGGGGTTCATGTGCTAGGGGATCCACTTATTGACTTAAAATATGCAGCTGACATGGCCCTGTTTGGTGAAGACAAAACGAAGAGTCTTCTGCCCCCCCTTAAGCAACAATGCTAGTATGTTTGGGATGCATTTCTCCACATCTATATGATAAATTCTGCTTCGCAACTGGCATGCATCTGAGAAGGTTGGGACATGTACTACATATATCCATCCACCGACTACCCCGACGAGGTGGGTACGGAAGATCAACCTAGGGGAGTTGAAAAACCCTGATTCCAGGTCAATAGTACACATGAGCTCCAGGAACCTATTCCTGGTCACAGGCTACCATAGGATTGCATATTCTAACATTGCTTAAGTGTCTTTTGTATTAGAATTCTGAGTTAACTGCTCGAGGATTTCCTCCGAAGGAAAACCACAAGCCTCGATTTGAGCACCCGGAGAGTAGCCTAGTTTACACACAAACATAATGACGATTACAAGCAACAAAACATTTTTCGCTTTAATCCACAATTACCTGATAACATTCACTTTCAGTTTACATCACTTCACTAATTTATTTCCCTTTATTCCCTTTCTGAGTGTTCTTTTAGTTCTCAACTCATACAGCAGCTTAGCTATAATGGAACGAATACGAGTTCTTAACTGACCTTTCTAAAACCACATGTCCCATTCGAACTGCTTCAATGTTCACATATTAATGCAAATCGGACAGCAGGTAGGTTCGGTCATGTATGTGCTGTTAAATTAGAAAGCTCCATTAAAGTGAAAAATCGGTGTAGCAGACAATATCCTTTCGTTATCTTCGTCTGTGCCCCAACATATTGCAACCAGCATGGAATTAAAAATGAGTTCCATCGCCAGTTAAGCGATCTTCACTGGAAACAGCGTTCAGGAGATACTGTAGTGCCAGTCGAGGATTTGGACGTGCAAGTCCGAGATATAGGTACAGGGGTTTATCTAAGTGGCAAATGAGGACTCGCTGGTAACAAGTCACGTAACAGAGGCCTGTTTTTACAGATTTGCGCAGACCATCACCTGTTTTTAACCAGCACTAACTATCTATATAATTATATAACGGTTCGAGATGAACAATCTACATTCATAAGGAAAAGTTAGTATGTCGCTGTCTTTTCGATTAGCAGGCAGATCAGCCTGAATACTTTACTAACTTCATAACCTATGTGGAAACGGTCACACTTGCAATATTTTTACTTCATTTTATATAAACTATTTGTTAAAAATCTGCTTTCTGACTGAACAAAACCAGCTGGAGGTCCTTTGGACTTGTTTTAAACTTGTCCCTAGAGTATACTTTTATCCCTACTGATAAAAACTATAATTACTTCCAACGTATTGAAAAATGTCGAATTTTTAATAACTGTATTATTTATCATATATCTATGTATACAGTGTTCCCACATAGTCTGCATTCGATCCATCTATCTTAAAGATTTGCCATACCTTATAGTTAAACTCACATCGTATTACGTACCTCCCACCAACTGCACTTCTAAGAAGCCTTTAAACGTCAGCATTCAAACGTTGCGGCCATTCAGATTCAGATTCCAGATACGGATTTGTGTAGTAAGGACAGAAGACCTACAGCCTATGTTATTCCTTCTCTAGTATGCTTCTACGAGTGTCCATTCTTCTCTTAAATGAGTCAATTGAAGGTGCGAACACCACTAATTTGGGTAAACGGTTCCAAGGATTGATGACTCGATGTCAAAACCTGTATGCTACGGGTACTTTGCTCGTTCTTGTCTTTTCTACTTGCCTACTATGTCCTCTGAGATGTCCCGATGTAGTAGGAAGAAAAGGAGAGGATATATTATGTCCAAAATCACTTCTTAATATCCTATACATCAAGATGAGATCACCTGTTAATCTACGATAGGACAGAGAAACGAGGTCCAGGTTCTCAAGCTGCTCTTTGTATGGTAAACCACGGAGTTGTGGAATTGCACGGGTTGCTGCCCTCTGTACATTTTACAGAATATCCGAGTCACCTTTTAAATAGGGGCTTGCAGCCTGAATGCAGTTCTCAAGCTTAGTTCTCACTACGTTTGTGTATGTTTTAGTGAACTTGGTAGTATCTGACTTAGGGAATGTCCGTCTTATAGCCTAGAGGGTTCTAAACCCCTCGTCTGCAACCTCCCGGCAGTGGGCCATGGTCTTAAGATCATGACTCACTGTCACGCCCAGATCCTTATGAGACCGGTCCACGGGTACTGGCACATCCCCTATGCTGTAGCTATCAATCTTTGTATTGCCGAAATGCATGTAGACACAATTTGCCGCGTTGATAGGCATCAGTCACTCTTGGGAACAGTTAATCATATTATTTAAGTCTGCCTGAAGAGCGTATACGTCTGCGTCTCCAGCTGTTACTCTCCAAATCTTTACATCGTCAGCGTATAATAACATTGGGGACTTCACTATACTTGGAAGATGATTTACATACAGTATACTAAATAAAGGACCTAAGACAGAACCTTGAGGAACTCGACTAAGTACTGGTCTCCTGATAGACGACTTGGAATTTATCCGTACTTTCTGTCTACGACCTACTAGGAAATCCTTAAGACTGTAGCGATAAATAAATCCCCAAAATAAATAGCTTGAGCTTTGACCCCACCTTCGTTTCAACTGATGCCCTTCTGGCCCGACAACATCAGAGCCCGGTTCTGCTGCGCAGAAGCCGACTTCTCCGAGCACGGCGTGATCGACACACGTGCACAATTCCTCGCAGTAGTCAAGGCACTACCGCGCCAATTCAACAGGTACGTAACACCTAGCATGTTTGCAAATGATGTTTTCGAACGCTACGAAACGCTGAAACGTTCTTTTCCTAAACGCGGAGACCTAATCGATAGACAAAGGTTAGACCAACCCCTCAATGACATCGACCTGCAAAACGGTTCTGCGACGGACATGTTGCAAAGAATGAGAGAGGTTATCGGCCAAAGAAACTTCGATGATGACCTATTTAAACAACTTTTCTTGTCCAAACTTCCTCAACAGATGCAAGCTGTGCTGGTCTCGTTTTAAAACGACGCCTTAGACAAGCTGGACTCCGCCTGTAGCTCTTCTAATGTTACTGCCGGTCCCAAGCCCGTGTAAACGAGGAGGGTTGAGCACGGGGTTAATGCCCCATGCCGTAGAAATCTAACTCGCTAAAAAAACGCTAACCAGGAAAACTAATTTAAACCAGTTAAACTCTGTCCTGAAAGTTAAAAGGTCTTCATTTAGAAGAACTATGGAGCCTCATGGTGAAAGTCGAAGTCCCTCGGAAGCCACATGGCCGATGCCCCTTTTAACATTTAGAGCAACAATTTTTATGGGTACATGGAACGTCTGAACAATGTGGGAGACCGGGAAGACCAGTCATATAGCAACGGAAATGAGGAGATACAACTTTGCAGCACAAAGGTTAGATACGGGAGAGATGCTGTTATACTCCGGTCACGAAGAGGAAAATGCTCAACACACTCAGGGAGTTGCTCTGATGCTGTCCAAAGTAGCACGAAATACACTTGTAGGATGGGAATCTCACAGATCCAGAATCATCAAAGCGTCATTCAAAACAAAGAAGGAGGGAATCACAATGAATATTATTCAATGTTATGCACCCACCAAAGATAGCAACGATGACATTAAAGATCAATTCTACAAGCGGCTGCAGTCAACCGTAGCGAAGTGCCCAAGAAACGACCTCACCATTCTGGTGGGAGATCTAAACGCCAAAGTTGGAATAGACAACACCGGATATGAAGATATCATGGGACGACATGGACTGGCAGAGAGAAACGAGAATGATGACAGATTCGCAAATTTATGTGCATTCAACAATTGGCCATAGGCGGCACAATATTTCCACACAAACGTATACACAAATCTACATGGATCTCACCGGACCACATTGCAGAGAACCAGATAGATCATAATTGCATCAATAAAATATTCCGAAGGACAATGGAAGATGTAAGAACCAGGAGAGGAGCTGACATAGCTTCAGATCACCACCTAGTGGCAACCAAGATGAAACTGAAGCTAGAATAGTGCTGGACAACTGGGGGAACAGCACCACATAGGTTCAATACAGCATTCCTTCGAGACACTAAAGAAATCAACGGATTCAAGATAACTCTCAAAATCAGGTTCCAAGCATTACAAGATCTGCTGAAAGAAAAACAACAAACTACTATGGAGGACAATTAGAAAAGAATTAAAGGGGCACTAGCTTCAACATGTCAGGGGGTGCTGGGTTGCAAGAAGCACCATCATAATGGATGGATTTCTATAGAAACACTGGACAAGATCAAAGAAAGGAAGAACAAGAAGACAACAATTAACAACAGCCAAACACGAGCAGAGAAAGTCCAAGCACAAGCTGAATACATAGAAGCAAACAAGCAAGTGAAGAAGAGCATTATAGCCCACAAGAAGAAGTACGTGGAAGAACTAGCGACGACGGCGGAAAAAGCTGCAAGAGAATGAAATATGAAACACCTGTATGATACAACGAAGAAACTAGAAGGGAAATATAAACCAGAGAGGCCGGTCAAAGACGAAGAAGGCAAGCCAATCACCGAAATTCAACAACAGCGGAACAGATGGGTAGAGTACTTCGAGGAACTCCTGAATAGGCCGGCTCCAATGAATCCACCGGACATCGAAGCAGCACACACAGATCTTCCTATAGATGTCAATCCACCAACGACGGAAGAAGTCAGAATGGCCATCAGACAAGTCAAGATCGGGAAAGCAGTAGGACCTGACAACATAACAGCTAAAGCATTGAAGTCAAACATCGAAGTAACTACAAACATGGTTCGCCTTCTGTCCACAAAGTTTTGGGGGGAGGAACAAGTACCAATGGACTGGAAAGAAGGACACCTCATCAAGATTCCAAAGAAAGGAGATCTGGGCAAATGTGAAAACTACAGAGGCATCACACTACTATCGGTTGCAGTAGACGCCCAACTTCGAGATCAACAAGCTGGATTCCGTAAGGATCGGTCGTGCACAGACCAAATTGCGACACTACGGATCACCGTTGAACAATCAATTGAGTGGAGCTCATCACTGTACATCAACTTCATTGATTGTGAAAAGGCATTCGACAGTGTAGATAGGAGGACATTATGGAAACTTCTTCGACACTACGGAGTTCCTGAGAAGATTTTCAACACTATCCGGAATCCATACGACGGACTACAGTGCAGGGTCGTGCATGGAGGACAGCTGACAGATGCATTCCAAGTAAGGACCAGAGTCAGACAGGGCTCTTCATTCTCTCCCTTCCTCTTTCTCCTGGTGGTCGACTGGATTATGAAGACCTCGACATCTGAAGGAAAACATGGAACACAATGGACAGCTCAGAATCAATTAGACGATTTGGACTTCGCAAATGACCTGGTCCTCCTATCGCGTACACATGAACAAATGCAGATAAAGACAACCAGTGTAGCAGCAGTCTCTGCATCAGTAGGCTTCAACATACACAAAGGGAAAACCAAGGTCCTCAAATTCAAGGCGGAGAACAGCAATCCAATCACTCTTGATGGCGAAACTCTGGAAGATGTAGAGTCTTTCACATACCTGGGAAGCATCATCGATGAACAAAGAGGATCAGATGCAGATGTAAAGGCGAGGATCGGCAAAGCAAGGGTCGCATTCCTACAATTGAAGAACATATGGAACTCAAAACAACTTTCAACCAATATCAAAGTGAGAATCTTCAATACGAACGTCAAGGCAGTTCTACTGTATGGAGCTGAAACTTGGAGAACTACAACAACCACAATCAAGAAAGTACAAGTATTTATAAATACCTGCCTACGCAAGATACTCAACATCCACTGGCCGGATACCATCAGCAATAGTCTTCTGTGGGAGAGAACAAACCAACTTCCAACTGAAGAAGAAATTAGGAAAAGACGATGGAAATGGATAGGACATACATTACGCAAATCGTCAAACTGCATCACGAGGCAAGCCCTAACTTGGAACCCTGAACGGAAGCGAAAAAGAGAAAGGCCAAAGAACACATTGCGTCGGGAAATAGAAGCAGATATGAAAAGGATCAACAGGAACTGGAAGGAGCTGGAAAGGATTGCCCGGGACAGGGTTGGATGCAGAACGCTGGTGAGCGGCCTATGTTTCCTCACGAGGAGTAACAGGTGTAAGTTAGACGAGCCGGCTGCATCTGCCAACGACATTTTAGAAATCACCAAATCTCCTAATACCGAGGTGTTTTCAGTCAAAGAAAAACCTCAAACGACTCAAAATGATATAACCGACTTATGTCACACACTCACGCGTTATCTTAGTCTTCGTACCGACCGTAAGAGATCGCGCACACCACGTAGAAGCATTTCTCGTAAGCGATCTGTCTCTAGACCACGAGAGACAGATAACCCCAACTGGTGCTGGTATCATAACCAGTATGGAACGCTTTCCAGAAATTGCAGAAAACCCTGCAATTTTTCCAACACGAAACCGACTGATTCGAAAAACAATTCGGGAAACTTCCATGCCGGCACGCGTTAATGGCAACCGTAGCCGGCGAACATAGCCGTCTGTTATACGTCACAGATGTGACAACGAGAGTTCGCTACCTCGTCGATACTGGCGCAGAAG